CACCAGGACTGAAGGAAAAACAGATCAATCATTTTAGATTGAGCTGATAAAGTAAAAAATAAAGTGGTTTTTACTGTCAAATGTGAGATTTGATGGATAAAAGTTTCTGCAGCTGAAAAAAAAAATCTTATTTGTTCAATTAATGCTTCAAAACTTTAAAAAAAACAAAAAGAAAAACCCTGCAGGACTAAACAGAACTTTTATTGTGAAATTCTGCCCCCTGATGGACAAACTGCAGACGTGCTTTTATTTTGATTTTGAGCTCATTTTCTTTATAAACTGTCTCAGAGAGCTGTAAAAATTAAATTTAATTGTTTCTTTGTTTGTTTATTAACTCGTTGCAGGTTTTATTCTTCAGTTACTCGTGTTGGACCTGAGGTTTGACCAGAACCAGGAGGAACCCGGGAAGAACCGGACCCACAGAGGAAGGTCCACCTGCAGGTCCACAGGTGAGTTTCTGACAGAACTTTATCAGAACACAGGTCTGTTTTCATGTATAAAAATATAAAATCATAATTCTGAAGGTTTTTCTTACAGAACTTGACTTTAGTCTTTAAGATATTTTTATTTCCGGTATCGAAAAGTTTAAATAGTAAGAAGGAACAGGATGAGCTGCTTCTTCCTGCCTCTCACTTTTCTTTTTAATCAGAAATACAGACGTCATGTTTGAGATAGATAGATAGATAGATAGATAGATAGATAGATAGATAGATAGATAGATAGATAGATAGATAGATAGATAGATAGATAGATAGATAGATAACTGAAAGGATTTAATTCGAACAGACTGGATGAAATCTGAACGGTTGATAAACTGACTTTATTGAAAACAGCTGAAAAAATATGAGTTTGTAAAGTAAAACTAAACAGAACAGARGGTAAAAAGAGGAAAACAGCAGCTAATATGAGCTAAAATTAATTAAATGCTAGAAGCTAAAATAAAAACAACTCACTCGTGTTTTAATCCAAGTGGTTTTAAAGATCAAAATGTTTTTTTTCACCTTTTATATTTGCATGAAATGTGTGTTATAGACTCTYTAACTGAAACTAGCAACTCCACAGCTAAAAGCTAACAGGAGCTAAAGAAAACACAAACAGGTCTGGTATTTAGGCTCATGATGAGCAAAGTTTTTATTTTATGTTTTTTTAATGAAGACATCTCTGTTTATTTTTCTGGTGCTTTCTTTTATAAATAAAGTAAAAATAACATCAAAAAGTATCAAAACTAAAACTAAAAGCTCAGTTCTGCTGATTGAGCCGAACGTTCTGATCAAGTTTAGAGACGTGACGTTCACCAACGATCCGAATCTTTTGAACAGCTCTTTACAACGAACGATAGGAGCCGAGTCGCGGGCAGGAACGAGACATTTGTACTTTTATTTCTTTTATTCCTCATATAATCTTTATTTTTTCATCCTTAAATCGCTCCGGCTTTGATTTTTCACAGAAAACAGGCGGAGCGGTGGAGAACAGAAGCTCACAGGAAAGGGGGAGGGGGGTTTCTCGTTGACAACACACATGGTTCCGCCCACGTAACGTGATGACGTCATCACGTCGCCGTACGTGATGACGTATTTCCCTACGTGATGACATAACACGTTCAAAATCGAACGTTTCTTTTTGAACGGCTCCATGAAACAAACGAGATCCTAAGATCCAGATCCCATCAAAGAGCCATTTATCCCATCAATAATCAAGTTATATAAACAGGAAGTTGTTTGATATAAACAGGAAGTTGTTTGATATAAACAGGAAGTTGTTTGATATAAACAGGAAGTCGTTTGATGTCAACAGGAAGTAGTTTAATGCAAACAGGAAGTAGTTTAATGCAAACAGGAAGTAGTTTAATATAAACAGGAAGTAGTTTTATCTGAACTGTGATGGATGCAGAGACGATCAGTTTGTTGTGATGAAGGTTGGGATCATTTTGTCTGTTTTCTATGAGGGGCTGTGAAGAACTGGGGTCTTCCTCCGGCAGTCACAGTGTAAGGT